GGTCTCCTCTTCGGGTCCAGCGCAGCTCTACGGCGCCCAGTGCGTCGGGCTGTGCATTCATCTCCTTCAGCCAGAACTGCCATCGAAAGTGGGGCCAGCACGGGGCTGCGCTGCACTCATTCTGCCCGCCGGATGAACCACAGCTCATTGCGCCGCTGAGGGACGCTGGGGTTCTCGTAGGCAGCCACCATGTAGCGTTCCCGCAGCACGGTGTCTGTGGAGCCCAGCAGCTCCCAGAGAAGGCGGATCTCCCGGAGGATCGTCTCTTCCGACGTCACCCCATAGAAAACCCTGGAACAAAGGGAGTGGCCACAGCCACCGGAGAACAGTCAGCTGGCAAGCTCCCTGCCCCCAGTGTGCCACCTATCCTCCCCCCCAGAGCCACCGACCCTCCCCTCCCCTCCGAGACGTTTCCTCCCCCCGTGGGCTCAGGAAACGTTCCTGTCCCCCTCCCCTGGCCTGCAGCAATGGCAGGGGCTCACCTGGTCAGGACGCGGAGCGGCTGTCTCTCCACAATGCGGATGTCAGGGTCCGTGGGGAGAGGGGGGTCGGGCTGGAACTCCCCTGGGAGGTAATAGGTAGTGGTGACGTCCCGCAGCAACTCGGTGCCCTCCTCACTCAGGCGGATCTCGTTCACCACAGGCACCGTCATGCCCAGGTAGCGGCCTGCAGGGAGGCAGGCACAGGCGGGCAGTGAGAGGGCGCCCGAGGGGCGGAGCCAGCCCCCCGCCCCTCACCTGCCAGCACACACCTGTGGAGTTCTCCTTGCAGATGTAGCGCATGAGTTTCATGAAGCCCATGGAGATGCTCTGTTCGTACATCGGCTCCCCCTTGGTGACGCAGGCCCACTTCCCCGCTGGGTACAGCCGCTCCTCACACTGAGACAGGCAGGGAGACAAGCCGGTCAGAGCCCAGAACAGGGCAGGAGGCTGCCTGCTGACAACACCCCACCCCTACGGTCACTGCCCACCCCCCACTGCCCGTTGCCAGGCGGGGGCAGAAAGCTCCTCGGGCCGCTAGTACTGTTGGCAAAAAGATGGGGGACACATCCCAGCCGCGTGTGGCCAAATGCAAGCAACGGAGTGGCACACCCCGGAGCATGGGCCTTGAAGCTGAGGAGTCCCGCTGCCGGAGGACACGGGGCTTGTAAGGGGTCAGGCTGGGGGTAATCTGGGGTGTAAAAGTTACCTGGACACACGCTCTGCATGCTGCACTGGGCTTCCTACCCATTTCCAGTCCCTGTTCTAGACAGACAGGAGACGCTATCGCCGGGCGTAGGGGGGACCCTGTGATACAGGACACCCTTGGCATTCAGCTGCCTCCAGCAGCTCTTCCTAGATACCCTGCAGCCTCAGCCTCCCCCTGGCTGCACTGCGGGGGGGGGGCACACCACCGGGCAAGCCCACTGCTGTCCTACACGCCAGGGTCAGGAAGAGGTGACCCCACTCAATGGAAGGCAAAGCAATGGCTTCCTGGCACACCCTGCAAAGCCAATGGGGCAGCTGGCAGCGTCACAGCTCCTGCTCTCATCTCCAAGGTGCTGCAAACGTTGTCTTGGCCGGCGGGGAACTCGAGCGCCAGAGGAGCCCCCCTTGTGGAGGGGAGGCTGTGGCGAGCAGGCAGCAGGCTGGGCCTGGCAGGGCTGGGAAGAACTAGTGCTGCAGGCCACATGCTTCAGTGGTTAGGATCAGTTTGCTCGGAAGTGCTTTCAGGGAGCTGCTGCTCACTAGTTCCCAAGGGCCTTGCCTGGAGGGAATGACCTGCAGGACCGTGCTCAGTCAGACCTGCTACGGTGCCCACCATTGATTCAGTGCTGGGTGTCAGCCCCGTGTGAGAGAGAAACCAACGTTTCCCCGACCAGAGGGAGAGGGCAGCCGGCCGCCACCCGGAGAGACCGGGTGCTGGGAGAGGTGCAGCTAGCCTGGGCACTGTGACAAGCCGCCCACCCCAAGCCAGAGCCACTGGCACCCCCTTCCTGGCTCAGAAACAGACGCTAGCTGCAGCAGGAGGTCAGGAGCGCAGAGAGCTACAGGAGTCAGATGGACCTTCCAGAACAGGACCCAGGTGGAGCAGATCCTGGTCGAGGGGAAAACCTGCCTCAGAAGCGCTAGGCTGAGGGTCAGTACGGTCACTAGGAAACGCGGTAGAGAACTCAAAGCCCATCCCGCCATACAGCCAGAATGGCGAGACTCAATTAGCGCTCAACAGCACCGAGCTCAGCCGAACCACGCAGAGCCAGGCACTGAAAGCCCCGCAGTGCTGGCTCCTTGGCGGCTAGCCGGCCTGGAGGGGTCAGGGGCCCACGCCCACTCTGGCTAGGGCTTCTGCACAAACTGAACATAGAAACTGAACCAAAGAACAGACCAGGGGAGGGAGGCAGGGGCTGCTGGGGGGCAGAGTGAACCTCAGGGATAAGGCAGGTAAGGAGATCTGCACACAGACACTCACTGGGTGATGGCCTTTTTCCCTGGGGAGGCTCCGGTCCTGCTGTGGGGAACACACACTACTGGTCACAGCCCCGCCCCGGGAAGGCTGGCAGGACCCGAACCCAGTCAGGCCTGGAACCCTGGGTCCGGACTCAGTGTGGGAGAATGGCAGGATTCCACCTTGCGTGAGGAGGCAGTGCAGGGTCTGTCAGCTGTGTGGGGCACTCGGCGACCAGCAAGGGCTCGACTGTGCAGCTGGCCTGCATGAGGACTAGAGAGACCTGCTGGGACGAGGAGCGCTCTAGGTCAGCTCTGGGCGCCAGTGCCCTAGAGATCCCAGTGCTGCTCATGGTGGGCACTGTGCCACTCTGGTCAGCAACTTCTGCCAGCTGATGGGGCATGGCCATTGGCACCGCGCTTGGTTGATGTGGACAGACTTCAATGCTACTTACACTGGGCACAGAATCACCTTGGCGCTTGGATCTCCAGACTTAACAGTGCCAGGCCCTTGGCCCCTGACTCGGTCAGGCCAGAGGGGTTCTGGGGTCACAGTGCCATGTATGCCAACGGAACCCTTTAAAGGGTTAACTCCTGCTGGGTTCCCTTGGGCCTATGGGCAGGGGCACTGAGGCAGGGCTGCTGGAAGAGGGGGCCTTGCCCCATTCAGAGGCAGAGGCCTGGAGTCAGCCAACTCTAGGTGGCACAGGAGAGCGAGGATCAGCCGATTTCCCCTATAAAGAGCAGGGGTAAGGGAGAACCCAGCTGGCAAGCTTGGGCATGTGGCTCATAGAAGAACCCTTCCAGCTGGGGTTTTCTGGTGGGGAGGAGGCCAAGCAGGCAGGCCAGGCCTGGCATCTTCTCCAGCAGCAGACAGCACCCAGGGCAGAGGCGCTGTGCCTAGCATAAGGAGGGGGAGGGGGAGAAGACTTGGCATTTACTTGTCAATGTCACGTCACGAGACCTCAGTGAAGGGGCATTAGTGGATAGAAAAGCCTGGGTGGAGTTTCTTTAAGAAGTAACTGAGCCAGGCCACTGAAGAGTGACCTCAGGCCACGTGAGGGTGCTCGGGAGGACCATGGTGACAGCCTGACAGGGTGTGAGGGCTCCGGAATGAAGCCAGAGAAGGGCAGTAGGGCACGGCTGTGTCTGTAGGGTGAAGCTCTTGGTGTTCTCTTGACACTTGCGGAGGTTACTGCAGGCCAGCAGATGTTCCCCCTCGCCTCGGTTCTCGATGGAGCACGCCTGGCTGCGAGCTGTGGGGCCTGGAAGAGATCAGAACTCTGTCCAGGAGAGTACGGCTGAGGGGGGGTTAACTGAAGCAGTCAGCAGTGCCGGCTCCTCTGCAGGTCCTCAGTGCCCCGTGGGTCGAGCCCAGGGCCACTCTGACTAGGGGTTCTCCACGGTGCCAGATCCCTGGCACTGACTCGTGACCCCGGCAAGTCTGGGGGCCTTGGTGCACACTTGCTAGGCATGGAGCCGCTGGGGCTAGCGGCTCTACACGTGCTGCTGGACTTACACGAGCTAGGACCTAGTTACTAGGCCTAAACAGCCTCCCTGATCAGCAAGGCCTTAGGCAGCCTTCCCACCTCTGCAGGGCTGGAGAAGCTGACAGACCCAAACCAGGCCAGCCCAACAGGACACCAGCAGGGAAGCACCAAGGACAGAGCATGATCCCAGCCTGCTGTGCCCTCAGTGGTCATAAGGAGCTGGAGGGTGGCTGGGGTCACTGCTCCCCTTGCAGAGCCCTGCTCTGGGGGGAGGGAGGGCAAGCTGGCTGGCCTGAAGGCCAGGGCTCTCCGCGGGAGTCAGGAAGCTAGCAAGCAACCCACACAGGAAAGCCCCCAGAAGCGACACTGACTTCTAGAGACTACGCAGCACTCTCCTGCATGGAGCAGAGGGGAGGAGCCGGAAAGAGAAGCCCAGGCGGGCACAGAGGCAATGCTGGAGGTCAGCAGGTTGCTGGAAGGGTCTCGGCTGACGAGGGGAGCAGAGTGAGCACCTACTGGGGCTAG